TTTTTTTTTTTTTATTAATATTAAAATCTTATGATAATATCTACACAATATCTACACAAACAGAATACAGATGCATAAGAACAATACTGGAATTACGGTTATAAGTTATATATATATATATATATATATATATATCTAGTTAGAATGTTTTGGTGGTATGTCTGTCTGCATATGTGTTTGTTGTGCAAATTTATTGGAAAACTGGTTTTTCGTTTAACTTTTTTTTTTCCTCATTTCTTTTTTTTTTATTTTCAAACTCTTGTTCAACTTAATCGATGTTATTTTGTTATGAATGCCATTTGGCTGACTTCATGACGTTCCTTCCTTGTACTGGTTTTCTAATAACAAACAAGAACACCAACAACAACAACAACAACAACAACAACAACACCAATAACAACAAAAGAAGGTAATAAAAAAAAATTCGTGCAAACAAGTATAGAAATACTTGTCATTTAGAAGTTCAAATGATGGGGTTTTCTAACTGTCAATAAAGTGCCAGGAATTGAGAAATATGTTCATTCATTCAATTCATTCATTTCAATATTATCGTAATTTGTCTTCGATTAAAATCTTTCCTGAGGTAAAAGATCATAAGGCTGTAACTTAACCATCGGCGTACTTTTCTTTATGCGTCATTGTCGGTATCTTATCCATTCATTTTTCTTTTAAAACGTTGAACATTTGATATTTTGAATAAAAGAAACACTCACCGGACAGAAATTCCTAAAGCGCTCCTTGACAAGGAGTTACCCAAATAAGTTTTTCTATTATGATGCACGATAAGCGAAAGACTTTTTAAACGATTTCAACCATTTCACGTCAGAGGTAATGTGATCTGTCTGCATGTGCTAAAAGCAAATATATTTTTCTAAATCCTTCTTGACAAGATTTATTGATAGTTTACAATTGCACTCTCGAACCTTAGCGAGATTAGCTTAATGGACTTTTGGATCAGCTTTTAGTTTTCAGAACAGTTTTAAACTTTTGATACGACTAAGATGAGAACAACTAACCCATGAAATATTGCATTATTTCTTCGATAAACATACACAAAAAGATCCCAAGTGCACATTTATCCAATAGGCTGAACGTGCACAGTAATACGGTTCTACGAAAAACTCAAAGTTATGCAAGCTACCCTTGAAGAAATCCTTTTGGAATATATGTATATCTATATATAAATATAAGAAAAATTCTTTATATAACATAATTATTACATAATTCGTAGTAAACTCCAGAAACTGTCAGTTGAAAAATATTCGAACTGTGTATCACGATAGTCGCCAATTAGATTTGTAAATGAGTGGACTCTGTTTCCAAACAAACCCGCACTTAGTTAATAAAAAAATAAAAATTTCCTACTTTCCAATAAAGAAATTTTCGTCATCTAAAATCTTTTATCATTAACATTATTTTTTACTAAAATGGACTTTATCCGTCCTTTATCTACAAGAGAGCATAACTTGTATCGTTTAGAAGATATTTATTTAAAATTTCTTTTATATTGATCCCTGTAGGCCAACTAACTCGATCCGCTGTTATATTGTTTTTAAAAGATTTCATGTGAAACTCTATAATAACTTGTAAATATAGTAGTAACCTATAAGTATGATGAAGTAAAACAATCTGGAACTTATGGTTGCGATCGATAGCTTTCCCCCGTTAATTACCTAAGCAAGTTACCTAAAACCATCTGTCAAAAACTGACTGTTTTTTTCCATTGTTCTACTTTTTTTGCTAAGCGTTAGTATGTATCGAGACTTTTATTTTATAGCAAGGCCCATCAGAAGCAAAGATATCTTTCAAATGATTTTATAAACTTTAACGGTTAAGTAAAGAATGCGTTCAATTTTCGTTAATTCCCGATAGTTTTTTGACGGTATACATATATATATATATATATATATATATATATATACATAAATAAATTTATTATTAAGCTTTGATCAATTTTCGAAATAAATTGTGATTATGCGATGTCTTCCCTTACCATGGAAGTATGCCAGGAATGAAAAGTATTAAGGGATCGTATGGCTCTGACTGTAAATTGTAAGCGAATTGTCAAAGTGACACGACATGTTGACGCGATATGAACGTTTGAAGGTTATTACTCGCCAGAAATTATATGAGTCTTTCAACAAGGTTGCCATATCGGCCATAGATCGGCAAACTCATTGAATGACATAATAAATAGTAAAAAAAAAGTAGTACACGTTCGTTATATAAACGATTTTCTTGTTAGTTTCTTGTACGTCTGTTATCTGCCGCAATGAAAAAAAACAATGGATTTCATACCTATCAAAATTAAGTAAAGCTTTTCCGAGATAAAAAAGGGAACGGAAAAAGTATTCTTAGTGAACGACTCATATATCAAAATGTAACTGCAATATGTTGACGTTTATAGCAATTTGATAATAAAAAAAAAAAATTTCCGGTGTTAATGGCTTATGATGCGTTAAATTAAATTGATACCAAATCGATAGTAATCGGCATATTTTATTCACGTACTTATGTAAATAAGCTTAACATAAACAATGAAAGTTTGCAAGCCAAACAACAGCATTGTTATGGTATCCGAACCAGATTTCATTCAGTACATGAATACAAATACATTTCCTTGTCCGCAAGCTAAACTGCCTTGATATGGTTGCGTTCGTTAGAGAATTGCGGTACAAGAGAAATTCAAGGAAAAAATAAACACAAATATCCTTACGTAACTTATGTCAATTATCGAAATTCGAAATATTTTATTTCAACTGATTAAACCGTAAAAGCAATAACATTGTACCGGCATGCCTTTTAATATTCACGATAGACACTTTACCCAATTGCTCGTACATTACTGTTTCGATACAAAGCAAATGTCAAATTCAGTGAATGATCTTAAACGTGAGCAGCAAATTGCTTGCATGGGCTTGGTATTCGATTTTGTGATGGATATTATAATTATTGTCAAACGTTAAATGTCAACTCATATGTATATATATATGCATATATATATATATACATCTAAATACATAAAGTGAAAGTTACCTTCACATACATAAGTAACATATATATAGTATATTATATAGTGTAAGCGTACGCATGCATGCCTTCTCCGTTAAAGAAATTCAAGCCAAAATAGTTAACACATTTATTTGATTGTCATCATGCTTTACATTGTCATTGCATTGAGCAAGCGATACACAGAGACATATTCAATGCTCTCCGTTATACATTATTTTTATGCGATCCATCAAAATGCGTTTCAGTCGATAGTTAATTCATGATAGCGTTTATTAAAAACTATCTTTGAATTTGGCAAACCAGTTAAACACGCATCCATACGCTTATAGGCCTGATAGTGATACATATATTCAAACATTTTACATAGTTAGTTTGCTGTAAATGAGTTACGCTCAACTCGATAAATATGGTCTGTTTTCATATAAAGTTCAATATATCTTTCAGTTATGGAAAACTCATTAAGAAAAAAAAAAGAAAAAAAAACAAAACGAAGAAATTCATGAAATACTTACTGAGGTTAGTGGACTAGAAAACGGAATTTTTAGCTGTTAATATAAAACGATATATATGTATATAAATGCCATAAAAAGATATTCGAAATTCAGTGTGAAAGGAATCTTAGGCACTTACTTAACTTTTTGAATTCATTGTACATAGCGTAGAATTAATTTTGCATAAAATATATGTATAGGGAGCAGATTGGTGAATGAACGAAGGTAACGACTTTAAAATAATTCCGATGTAATCAATTCAGCAACTATGTGTCATACGTAATAAATGTACCCTAAATATTACATGCATTGTAAGCGTAAGCGTAACTTATAACTGTGATCGTAACTTAAGTGAATATTCGAAAGGTAACCTTCATAAGGTAATCGGCCGTCGAATCTATTAATCAATCAGCTAAGCAAAGCAAGATGTCATAGGAAAATTTGTAATAAAGATTTCATATTATATTTTAAAGTATAAATAATTCGATTCATTCTTCTTCTTCTATTGCATATTCTATTCATGACTGAGAGTATAAACGAATTCTTCGGTCTGGCTTTTTGTGGCTAAAAATATGAGTTTATTTCCGGACAAATTGAATGAACAGTAGCATATGACTTAAGAATAGTATAGTATATTCGTAGTTTTGATCACCGCCCTAGCCCCTAAAAAGAATTATGAAGCACACGTATTCTCTTCGTCACAACAAAAAAGGGGAAAACAGAGCTGCTCTCCTCCTCTCTAGATATCACGAGGCGACGACATATGTAATCGGTAATCGAAATATGAAAGGTTACCGGCAAGCCGGCAACAAGATCTACTTGATTCAAACTCCAAGGTCGAACCATTTCAAGATGATATCCCATATCTTACACGCCTTATAGATAGACAATGAATCATAATAAAAATCTACTCATAAGATGTCAGATCAAATCTGATCACATTTCTTTAATATTTACGATAATGTATTCAAGGGTTAGTGGATGTGTGCTTAAGCCATTATGCGTCGCAATAGTGGATTTTTTAAGAAGTCTTAAAATTACATTTTTACAACACACTTACCGATGTCCCTTATCAATGATTCCTTTTAAGACTTTTTACGTGTACATCTCATCGTTTAAATGTCAATTAATTCCTCCACTACTATCGAATCCATGAAAAAGTCATATTTTATATAAGTTAATTAGAATTCGCGATTCTTTCCCACCCAGCTACTCATGCGCCAATTAATTAGTACTCAATTAATGCGCTTTATTATTATTATTGGATTCTGTCGGAGACGAGTGAGACTTCAAATCGAATGCTTCTACCGTATAGCTTTTAAAGTGGAAGTTTCCCAATTGTTCATATAACTTTCACTGAATTTGAAATAACTTTGACTTGATATTTGAAATTTTTCGCAAATTAATGCGAAATATAAAATAAAAATAAAAAAGATTTCATTATAATTCAATTCTCAACAATTAATAATCGATTCCATAGTGAAGTCTTGAAGTATGAGATGAACGCTCAATGAATGCCTTGAATTAGTGATTACAATTAACACAAGTCAATAATCAATATTACTATTAATATGATACGTATATGTTAATAAGAAAGGCTTATTGTTCATAATATTATTCATAACAGAAATATGACTTTTACTTACTTCATGGCTTAATCAAGTTTTACGTAAATTCTTTTATTCATTTTTTTGCATTTATTTCATTTACTTTTCGTTCGTCGTTAACCTGCCTCCTTCGAACTAATTATTAGATGGACGCTATTCATTGATTTCAACTGATTGATAGCCGGCGATGATGAGATTTCTAATTAATGTACTTACTATTGAAATTCATTTTAAAAAATTGAAAAAAAAAAGAAAAAAAAACAAATTATTTGACACTTTCCTGCTTATCTATCATCTAT